TATAATAAATATAATAAATATAATAAATATAATAAATATAATAAATATAATAAATATAATAAATATAATAAATATAATAAATATAATAAATATAAATATAATAAAATATATTTAAGTCTTTAGTAATTAATAGGAAATATTAATAATTTTATTTATTTTTTTATACTTAGATTCTTAATATATCTTTTGTCTCAAATTTTGGTGGGTTAGTTTGTAAATTTTGTATTGCCCCAGCAGCATGCCTACTAACTAGCTGCCCTTGACGTAAGTTTTCTGCAAAGAGGTAAAAGCCCTCTGTTGACTCGACCAGATATGACTGCAGGCCCTTGCTTTCAAGCAGGATATTAACGTTAGTGAGAGGAAAGTTATTCTCAATAAACCGTGCCCACCCCCTCGCAGCGGCTTGAATATGGTCACCATCTTTGATTTGTTTCCAACCAATTCCAAGGTGAAGTGTAAATTGGTCGATGACTACCTCGTCATGAATACCGCTTTCTGGAGCATCCGAGCTTGTCGATGTCATCGCCGCTATCGTTTTGCTGGATGATGCGTGGTCGCTCCCATTAAGGAGCCTCTGAGACTTGTGATTCCTTAGTTGTCGGCCGCTTGGTAATCCATTCCCTTCCTGTTCAGTGATCACGTCGTCAAGCTCAATACCTGGAGGGATATCTGCTTCAAGAATAGAAACCGCACATGGTTTAACGAGCAAGATTCCCTCACCATTCGTCCAACCATTTTGGGAAATACGGGTTGACACATCTGGCTCGAGGTTATGTGCAGCCTCCTCGTGAGACCGCTTCTTGCCAATCGCGTATGAGGGCTGTTGAAGGAATGATGAACCCTGTGGAAGCATTGTCGGCTGCGAGCGCGGAGGAATATATGGCAATTGAAGATAAGAAGAAGCCAAAGAAATGATAGAATGGCTGGCAGGGATCGAGCGGAAGGATGACGCGAACCAGTGATAGGATTGTGGTGATGGCTCGTGAAGCGCTGAATATTTAGAAGTGACAATATCGAAGCTGGGATGCTAGAGGGAGCTGAGTATCTAGTCCATCTAGTACCACAGTAGGTAAGCATATGTGGACACTTAGCTCGGCTTGTGTTAGTGGAGATTGTGGGGTAATTAACAACACATACATACTAGCTCTCCCTCTGATGGATATTTGTACGGAGTCTCTTCATTATAATAGCAGAATTGATTAATTCTAAAATACTGGTCGCTAATTCTGTATTTGTAGCTAGCTAGAAAGAGAGAAGGCCCATTTTGTTGAGCTCTTATGTAATGTAGCAGCAGCTGTTGTAGCTCCTGAGTTATGCATATCACACTACCGGAGTGACCATCTTATTAGCATAGCATAGCATGAACTTGCGAAATAGGCATTTCCTGCAACCCTGAGCAAATATCCCGAGGCTATATAAACGTCTCTTGCTATGCAATAGCCTCGGATCGATAAAGCATGTTTTGAGCCTGACGATCTTCTACGCTACCTGAATTATTGCACCCCCAGGAGCTCTTTCCAGCGGCAATCTGGAGAATTCGAGCCGATCTCCTGAACTACATGTCGAGCGAAATGCTGACATATAACCAACGTGCCCAAACGGCACTCTTAAAGGCTGTCAGTATTCATAGTTCAGAAACATCTCGATGAAGATACACCGAGTCTCATGCACGTTGCGCTAATACAGGGCTTCTCTAGATTAACCGTGTTTTCGATCTAGATCGTGATGCCGAATCCCTCGAAGGGCTCTCGAATGGGATAACCCTGGGCCACATCTTGCATGAATTGGATTCCGAGTTCGACCCGTCGCATCTTGAATCAAATCCAGGGGCAACGAAAACCTTGGCCAACAAACGCAACAGACAAGCCATCTACAAGGGCCTCTTTCGTTTTATTCGCCGCCAGATTCCCGAACTCAGCTGTCAGGCAAAAAAGTTCGACTATCATGCTTTCGTCGAGAATCCTGAGCCGCAGGGTATCAGTCAGGTAATTTCCATTTCCTGTACTTGAACTCGAAGATCCTAACGGAGTACATCTCTAGCTCCTGGCTGTCATGGTCTCGGCTGCTGCAATGGGCCCAGATAATCAAAAATATGTCCCCAGAATTCAGAATGGGCTAGACCGGGATACACAAGCCGAAATCATGCAGATAATTCGAGCTATGCAACAAGATATTGCCAATTCCAAAGATGACGACGAGCTGGACGAGGCAATTGATGCTGCTATGGGAGCTCGTGATATCGAGCTTCTCGTAGAGGAACAAAATGCTGCTTTGCGACAGCAACTTGATATAACGAAGAAGACTCTTTCAGACTACATCACTCGCTTAGAGCATCTGCAGCAGAGCCACGAAGAGCTTGCGTATGACAAAGAGAAAACAGATCGCGAGCTGGAAGTTCTAAGAAAAGCGACCCAAGACGAGGCACATAGTGCGAAGACCATTAAGCATCTGGAAGAACAAGTCCACGAACAGATGGAGATTATCGCCAGGAACGAAGAGGTCATTCGTAGCAGTCAAAAATCCGTTTCTCAATTGGAGAGCGAGGTGCAGCGCCTGAGCCAAAAGAATATGCAAGCGGATGAGTTTCGTGACCAAATGGCAGAATGGAAGCACAAAGCAGAGGAGCTTGAGAAGAAGGCCAACATGGCGGAACGTTACAAACAGAAACTGGAATCACAGCAGAGTCTAGTGCGAGAAGTACAGAATTTACAGTACGAACGAGCAGAGCTCCAAGAGCAGCTCCGATCACTCATGGAAGAGAGAGAGAAGAGTGACCGTACCAAGAAAGCGGAGGATGAGTTAACGAAGATGATCACGCAGTCTGAACAACATCTATGGGATGAGCGCAACCAGAAGGCGCAACTTCTGAAAGATGTTACAGCTCTCCAGGAAGAACTCATGCGATTACAAGCTCAAAGAACACATGATGAGCATTTCATCCAAGACTTGCAGGAACAGTTGCAGCACAACGGCGGCAGTACGGTGCAAGAAGTTGATATTAGTGAAACTTCGACACCGTTCAATCTCGAGGATGAACTTCTCATTGCGTCAAAGGAAGACACACAGACTAACATGCCCTTGGAGCTTTCTAGATTGAGAGCAGAGAATGAATTGATTCGGAAGACGGTGGGATCTCATGGAGATGCCTCCATGCTTCGACGAGAGTTAGAAGAGCTTAAACGACAACGAGAACGACTTCAGCAAAACTTCAACGCCATATTTGAGAAATATACCATCACGAATGATCACATGCAGGCTCTGATGAGTGATAATGCTGATGAAGGGTTAGTTGTGTATACTGTGTTGACATATAGGAAAAAGAGTACTCACAACGTGCACCCTAGGACCGAGGCATTTATTAAACTTCGACAAGAGTTGACACGACTAGAACTTGAATTTGAACAGGCCAGGAAGCTGACAAATAGCCTTGAAACCCAGCTGGCAGACAAGACTCGAGAATTGCTTGCTGCGCAGGCCGACTTGTCTGCGGTCCAAAAGGACAGCATCACAGCATTATATGAGTTGAAGAGCACGGATAAACTGATATCAACTTCATTGACAAACGAACTTGAGCAATTGAGGGAAGAAACTAGTTTTATAACAAATGAGCGGGACGCACTGAAATCACAGCTCATTGAGGCTTTGCTAGCGAATGACAAACTCCGGAAAGAGTCAGATGAGAGCAAAGATTTGCAAGATGCCACTGGTTCCTCGACAGACGGCGACGGCTCAGAAGCCGCTAAGAAGGCCGCCGAAAAGGTTGAAAAGTTACGAGAACGCCTTATTCAGAGAAATCAGGTAATTATCAATCATTTGCAGATATGAGTATGACTTGCTTACGCCTTCACTAGCAACTCGAGAAGTCAGAACAGGAAAGGCTCGAATTACAAGCCAGACTGAAGGCAGCACAACTTGGGGAAATCTCGGCAGCTCAAAAGGTATGCTCTGTTGCGCGATATTCAGTGATTGGCCGCGGCGATGAGGCAATACGCCTATTTTCGCTTCATCACCACTTCTTTCTATACAGGGAGAGAGTAACGCTAACTCGAACGGCCAGGCTGCATCCGATCATATTATCAAGAACCTCCAAAGGGAAAACGCACTTATTGCCACCGCCTGGTATGACCTTACGAGCCGACTTCAGAGCAACCACGTCGTACTTCAGCGCCGACATGATGCTCCCAAGAGCTGGCTTAACAAACAGAGGCAGTTGGTGAATGGTCAGTTGCGCCAACGCGACATGCTCTACCTCTACTGACCTGACTCTTCAGCGACTTCAAGGAGGTAGGATCCAAGGGGTTGAGCTCCATCCGTTTACCAATCTCCCTGGGTATAATGTTTACTAGGCGAATTACGGGCAAAGAATTCATTATTTAGTGTTGCAATATTCCCGTCTATACACTATGCATATAGATGACTTTCTTGTTAGCCTGTTTTTTTTTTTCTTTTCCTTCGTTCTAGATATTTCGCTTCGCCTCTAGAGTAGTATAACACCTTAGCCAAAATTCATTCACATAAGACAATCGATGAACAAAGATAATGCCGTATCGTAATCTATCACAGCCCCAGTAAAAGTCAATATCACTTCATGAGGTTTCGTGTCTCACAAAATTGCTTTTGCTCTAGAGCTATTTTCTAGAATTAGAAGCTCGAGAGAAAAAAAAATTAATAGGTTATAGTAGTAGGCGGAGCCAACTGAGCATACTCATACTCCCGTGTATCAAAGCATACAGGGCATGATCCTTTTTGGTAGCTTAGCTCTTGCCAGCAAGTTTGCTGAAGACGGAAGAGCCATGAGATTTCTTTCCTTCTAGAATATCCAACATATTCTTCCACACCTCACCGGGTTGCTGACTGGCATCAAGACCCTTCCAGATGCCGCTGTTTTGGTAGTAGCCAACTACGGGGGCAGTTTGCTTGTGGTAAGCACCGAGACGCTTCTTCAGAGCATCGGCGTTGTCGTCGCTCCTCTGGATAAGGGGCTCTCCAGTCACATCGTCCTTCATAGCCTCCTTGGGGGGGTTGAAAGTCGTGTGGTAAGACCGTCCAGATGCCGGGTGGATCAATCGACCAGTAATTCGGGCAACAAGTAGGGAGTCGTCAATCTGGAGCTCGACAGCGTGTTGGAGGGTCTGGCCACGCTCCTTGAGCATGGCATCGAGGCCTTCGGCCTGAGGCACCGTACGAGGAAAGCCGTCAAGGATGAATCTGCGGCAGTTGTGTAAGGAAAAGAAGGAGAAGGAGAAGCTGCTTTCGCTGCGCATAAAGGTGGTTACTTACCCGCCTTGGCATTCCTTGTTGTTCTCGAGCTCTTCCTTAATCATACCAATGACAATATCGTCACTGACAAGGCCACCTTGGTCCATGATTTTCTTGGCTTCTCTTCCGAGAGGTGTCTTCTTGGCCACCTGTGACCGCAGCATGTCGCCAGTAGCCTATATATCCGAAGGGAGTTGACGTTAGATATATGCGCGCATTTCGCCAAATCCCAATTGACATCAACGTACCAAGTGGCAGCAGGAAAAGCGCTCTTTAATCTTTGGTGCTTGGGTTCCCTTGCCTGGCCGAGGAATCAGTACGATTGTATACTCGATATGGTTCCAGCACGACCAAACCACTAACCAGCTCCTGGAGGCCCAATAAGAATCATCCGAAGACTCTCTGTGCTAATTGGAGTGCTTCCAGTGGCGCGCTGCTCGAGCTGCTTGATGCGCGAATCGAGGCCGTTGATCACATCGCGCAGATGCTTGAGTTCGTCTTCTACAAACCCCATTGTGACTGATTTTGGGTATGGGGGCAAAAATTGAGAAAAAGGAATGAAGAGTATTAAGAATTGGAGCAACTGCAGCACCTATAAACAAAACTGTAGGCCGAAAGGAAGCGAAGAGAGGAATTTGAGGTATGGTGGTGAAGGCGGATTTAACGAGGAGGCTACGAATACCGATTTCGCTGCACAGCAAAAAATTACCTAGTATCAATTATTAATACATAAACTAAGAACTTGGTACGTTTTTGATATAAGTATTGAAAATCTATAAGTTAATTTTATATTTAATATTTAATGTTCTTTTTACAACTTAATTCTTAGATTATATAGTTTTTTTTAAAAGAAATAATTTTATTTAATATTTTATTTAATATTATAATACTATCAAAATGGTAAATTGTTATTAAAATCGTATATTCTTAATTATATTCTATTTATTACTATTATTGCAGATAATGTATTTTTAAAGGCAGGATATTTTCCCGCTATAATTCTCCGGACGAACGGATAAAAGTTAGTCAGTTGTCACCGCAGATACGGGTCGTAAAACTAACGCACAAACTGGGGCTTCCATGGCGGAATGGAACTTCGAAGCGCTACCGAGGTATTGCCTGTACTTGGAAGAACCGGCACTCGAATCGGTGAGTTTCCTCGGGATAGTGCAGGGGTAGTGCATCACAGAATTTAATTCGGTTGTCGGCAGTGCTTGGCATTGACGGACTTACACATTACTGATGTCTCTTCTGCGGTATATGAGATGCCTACCTAGGTGTGAACAGAGTAGGTATACCGACTGGAGGCAATCGTAATATGTCCCGACACCAATATGACCTTGGTAAACCCCTATTGCTAAGCAGCCCGCGACAGCATAGGTAGCCTTCAATGTTGTAAGTCAAGTGCAAGAAACATCGGCCTTGCCAACTTTACACCTACCAAGAACTCTAAGGGCTGGCGGTGTCATTCCATAAATCTTTGGTTTCTTCCTCTACCGCTCGCATAGCCACTGCGACTGATTCCAGTTTCGCAATAACGTCGATGACGCCGTCATTAACACGCTCAAAATATTCATCGTTGGCCTCACGACGCTTCCTCGCAAGTAGAATGTCGGCCTCCGTTTCCTCCACCAACTTCGCGCCCAAGCGATCGACTTTCTTTTCATCACTTCCTTGCCATCCACTAGATGTGCCCATCATGCTCTTTGCTGCATCAGTCCCCTCTCCTCTCTCAGGTCTTGACGAGTCCAATAGCCCATCTCTTAGATTAGGTAGCTCATCACCTTTAGCATCATTCATGTGATCACGCAGGGCAGTCTCTATCGTATCGTCCGCCTCACTTCTGGCCCAGGCTTGCGCAAGTACGATTTGAGCAGTTCTCAGGTCCCCCAGTTTGCGATCATGTTCGGGCCCAAATACATGGGTGCCTTCTGAAGCGGATAATTCCACCTTCTCCAGCGTGGCTTGCATTTCTGCCCACAAAGCATCTGTCCTGTCGGTGCCTCCATAGCTCCCTTTAGTAGGTAATGACCACTCGGGACGTCGTTCTGATGGCATATCTGACCCAGAGCGTGACTGCGCGCCGGCTTCTACGTTGGTGGGATCCCATTTGAGATTATGCCTCCCAAGAGCTGGGACGCTGGCTGTGATGGCTCCAGGAAGCGAGACGCGAGAAATACCGGGTGATGGAGACAGAAGAGGGAGAGGTGGGGGATCTCGCTCCCTTGACTTGGGTTCACCCTTGAACGACATTGCGTCTCATCCGAGGCAGATCATGGAAGGCTGATGCTGAATAGTAATAAGGGTGATGACGGGAGGTGTGGGGCATGAAGATGGCCGGCCTTGGTGTGCTGTAAGTGCGATCTACGGACAAATCGGGGCCGGTGATGGATAAAAATGCACCCGGATCGCCTTCCGAGGTCACGTGAAAATATTCCACAGCCCATCTTTTTTGCTCTAGGGCCGCAAACCCTATCGGAATTTTCGATTGTCCAATTCATCCTTCTGCCTCTTCGGTGTTGTCACATTACCCAACGCAGTGTCGCCATATTAGCATAAATCGGTACGTTCAACAATCATCACCGTCACCCAAACCACCACTTCTCGACGACCACTAACTCCTCGAAGCAATCATGGCAGGTGGCAAGCCCCGTGGTCTGAACGCTGCGCGCAAGCTGCGCACCAACCGAAAGGATCAGAAATGGGCTGATCTCGCCTACAAGAAGCGTGCCCTGGGCACTGCTTTCAAGTCTTCACCATTCGGTGGCTCTTCCCACGCCAAGGGAATTGTTCTCGAGAAAGTTGGTGTCGAAGCCAAGCAGCCCAACTCCGCCATCCGAAAGTGTGTCCGAGTTCAGCTGATCAAGAACGGAAAGAAAGTCACTGCTTTCGGTGCGTCTACACTATCTCCCACTTTCCACCCCTGGCTAACATGAGCTTTTCCCACAGTCCCCAACGACGGTTGCTTGAACTTCGTTGATGAGAACGACGAAGTTTTGCTTGCTGGATTCGGTCGCAAGGGCAAGGCCAAGGGTGATATTCCCGGTGTTCGATTCAAGGTCGTCAAGGTGTCTGGTGTTGGTCTGCTGGCTCTGTGGAAGGAGAAGAAGGAGAAGCCCCGATCATAAAGGAAGTCATTTGGGGAAAAGAGGCGTTGGCAAAAGGATCGTGAGGAGCTCTATTGGCTCATTTACACTGGCACCACTAGTCATGGCCCGATAATGGGAGGCTAAAATTTTGAAGGAGATGACATACGTCCCTTTAGAAACATTTTTCAGCATGTTCAAATACCAGGCGGCACCGGATCGGGCGTCTTCTCGCATTCACATACGACGAACGAAGTGCAGGCAATATGAGTGACGTGTTCTATAACAGTTTTTTTTAGCTTATTCAGGCCTCAAGGCTTCTTTCTTCCGGCTCAGACTGCTCAAGAGAGCGAGATACATAATCCGCAGCCATACCGATACTGATGACCCCCCCTGTGATCCAGCAACCATTCACAAACCACCACCAGCAGTTCTTGACGCTTTTGAGATTTACCCGCCTAATCATGATTCCCAGCGTAACGAGAGCTCCGCCACAGCTGCCCAGGAAGAAGATAGGACCTGCTCCCGCAGCCATTCCGGCAGCACCCAACAAGCCTACTTGCGCGATGGCCAGTCCAGTCAGAACTTGCTTGGTCTGATGTTCATGCTTTAGAGCAATGCTCTTGATGCCCGCATTTATATCATCTTTAATGTCCATGTGAGCATATATCATGTCGTATAGGACAACCCATGCAATATTTGACGTATAGAGACATGCTGCGGCTATGAGCGCAGCTGAATTTGAGAGCAGATCGATACCAAGTGCTGGGAAGCCCATGATTGCGCCCCAGGAGAAGGCCAAACCTAGGACAGCCTGGGGGTAATAGGTAACTCGCTTTGCCAACGGATAAGTGAGGACGAGGACGAGGCTTGGTATTCCGTAGGCAAGGCACGGCAGTGGAAATTGGACCAAGACGGCCAATCCGGCAAGCAGCTGGAATCCAGTAAATACGATGCCTTGGAACGGGGTGATTGCACCACGTGCAATTGGCCGTAGCCGAGTCCTCCGAACTTGCGGATCAAGGTCTCTATCCCAGAGATCATTAATTGTGCAACCCGCACCACGCATGATCAAAGCTCCGCTGAAGAAAAGAGCCGCAGTGGCGGCTGCTGAGGAGAATGGAGCCATTGGATCTGCCATTGGCGCTGCCAAAAGCGTGGAAAAGAGGCATGGGAAAAATAGATAATATGTCCCAGTAGGCTTGTCGATGCGGATGAGCTCACCATAAGGGACCCATGCCTTGGGCACAACTGATAGGATCCCAGTTCGAGCTGGGATATATTCCGCTAGATGCTCATTATTAGCTGATTTATCGGCATTAGCGGTCTCGAGGATTGGCTTCAAGTTCCTCAATGTTTGGTGAAAAGCGACAGCTCTTTGGCGATGAACCAGTGATCGACCTGTGAGAGTCCGAAGTGAGGGAGAAGTCGGATGAGGCAACGCCCATGATGAAGCAATCGAGCCAGTGCTACACCTCCATCTCAATCGGTGCTGGAGAGGCACTCTGACGGCAAGCCTCAGCGTCATAAGGTGCTGGAGTGATTTGATGCCGACAAACGAATGAATGTGCCCTGTCAGAAACCTTGTATGCGAATGGACGGATTTGGATAATTTTGCTCGCATCCCACCATTCAGCAGCAGCTAACTCGTACTGTGTAAATACACACTGTGTGCACCAGGACTCAGGTACTGCTTGACTGTGTAAGTCCTTCGCTCATTCACATGCCTCGGCTAAGACCTTGACGTAACAACCTACACACTCATCCTTCACGCTTCAATCACTCTTGAATAATGAACGAAGAAAAGCTCGGCCACAGTAATCCAGAGGACATTGCGCCTTCAGGCTCCTTTACTGGAGATGAATTACAGAAAGCATCTACGGATTCCAAGGGCAAACAGAAGGCAGGGCTGGAGCTAGCGGCATCTCAGCTTGGGGCCTCTACAAAGATGGTCGTCAATGCCATCACAACATTTCGGGAAATGCCAGCTTTGGCATCAGAATCAAAGTCCTCTCATGGTTCAAGTAGCATGGGCTCGCTTTCATCTATTGCTGGCGAGTATTCGTCATACAAACCACTCCGGAATCCGTTGCTTGACGAGACTACTCATGAGGGCCAGGATGACTTATTCGAGACGTTTACCACAAGTTCAACGGATGCGTTGGTAAATGATGGCTATCGAGTAGACGTTTCTGGATCTTCATTTGCATATCAAGAAGCATCGGATGGCTTGGCCGTTTTAGAACTTCTCTCACAGCCAGGAAATGAATCGATTGAGACGGCCATTTCCCGGGAGCATGATTTTCAGATCTCAGGCGAGGATGAATCATGGAGTGAAGCTGTGGCTGGTACACTCATCGATGAAGAAGACCAGCTTGATTTTACTCCTGATTTTATCACTAATCCTGAACTGTCTTCACAAGCAGCACCGTATCTTGGAACAACGAACCTTGAAGAGACAAGCAGTACTTGGTTTGGGTATTGGAGTGACGTGTTTACAGCGTACAATGCCCGGGTATGGGGTAATTTGCATCCAATATCCACTTCGGAAACATCGGATCAGGAATTAGAACAAGAGCAGGATAGTAGGGAGTCGATGACCATAAATCGGGCGCTCGATCGGTTAAAGCTCATATTCTATCACTTGAGGGGATGAGAATGTAGCGCCGGAACAAGAAGCCAAGTTTTTAATGTCATTGTAGCAACTTTCCACGATTTGTTATAAGAGAACCAGAAAAATGTAACATATACGTCAAGGGTTAATGATAATATACACTCATATCATAATTTGTTCTCACATGGCCATTTTCACACATTCATCATCTTGGGCTTCTACGTCTTACATGTGATAATCCAGCTCCCAAGCAATTTGTCCAGGTTAGTACATGTAGCTTTGGGTATCGGGTTCGCTGCCGGTTACCGGGATTCCCCCCACCCCTCCCAAACGCTAACCCAACACCACAAGCTTCCTCTTAGGTGCGTCGTGCTAGGCCGGATTGATTTATCTACCTATCCTCACGTCGCGCTTATCACAGGTGACCAATGCAACTTTACGCGATCATATTCACGACCCAGTGACTTCAAACCACAACGACCAGTGGCAGGCCCTTTTTGGGCCTACTCAAGTGCATACGAAGGTCAATCTGTGCATAGAGAGGTAGCATCTCTCCTGGAAGCTGAACACAGCCGCATCAATCGCCACCAACAATCCTCCGATGGTCAGCGCTGCTGAACAGCGACACACAAAACAAGATGCCTAGCGCTCAGCATCCGCAAGCGAAGTTCGATCCGATACCCCCAGATCTTGATCTACACTCCTTGGTAGACCACACACCAAATTTCCGATGGGCTCAGCGAGTATCTCGATCCCAAATCCGCAGCCTGGGCCAGCAAGACTTCGAGAAGCTCGTTGCGATACATGTCATAGCTGGTGGCAAGCCTCTCGTTATTGAAGGATGGGATGCTGCTCTGCCCTCCTCGCTTTTCAGTGCGGGATGGCTTGAGAATGCCTATGATAAAAAACGTTCGTCATCCCCCCAAGCTGCCATAGACAGATCACTAATCAGCTTGCCCTGTAGAGGAAAATGTCCGTGACATATCCAACTCCTCTGACATCCCCATGACCACTGGGCACTATCTACGGTCTATGAAACAGCTCACCAATCAGTGGACGCCTAATACGTATCGCGACGAGCGTCGACAACGACTCTATCTTAAAGATATTGATTGTCCAGTGGAGTGGCGTGACATGTTGCAAAAGATTATACATCCCAACCTCTTCTATCTCAACGAAAATGTCACCAGTAAAGGAGGTAAAAGGATGCATAACGAAGAAGCGTTTGAGAGTGAAACTACCGCAGCCCCGGCCGGAGATCTCATGTCCAGTTTACCCGAGGAAATGCGAGCGCAAAATCTCATGTGCTACATAGGTCATGAAGGGACCTACACACCAGCTCACCGGGAGATGTGCGCATCGCTGGGGCAGAATATCATGGTCGAAGCTTCTCGAGATGAAAATGGGGAGAAAAAAGGGAGCTCAGTTTGGTTCATGACTGAGAGCAAAGACCGTGAAGTGGTTCGAGAATACTTCCTGTCGATGCTTGGTCATGATATTGAGATTGAGAAGCACTTCGCGCAGATTAATGCTTGGAAGAAGGCCCCATTCGATGTGTACATTGTGGAGCAATGTGTGGGCGATTTCATTCTCATCCCACCTCTCGCAGCACACCAAGTCTGGAACAGAGGAACCAGGACGATGAAGGTCGCTTGGAACCGCACTACAGTGGAGACATTGGAGCTCGCATTACACGAAGCGTTGCCCAAAGCTCGCTTGGTGTGTCGGGATGAGCAGTATAAAAATAAAGCCATCATATACTACACCCTCCAGAAATACCATGCGGAGCTCCGAAGCATTGAAAAGAAAGCAGAGATGGTGCAGATGGACTTCATGGGCTTTGGGCGAGATGTTTTTAGAAGCTCTCCGCGTGTGAAGCAGTTGGCGGCTGACTTCAAAAAACTATTCCAGCTGTTTACCAAAGTTCTTGTCGACGAGGTCTTTGCGTTCAAAGAGAAGGACATCGAGTATCTACCTTTCGACTCTTGTGTTACTTGCTCCTACTGCAGGTCCAACATTTTCAATCGGTTTCTTACCTGCAAGCATTGTATCAGACCTCTAATCAATGGAGAAGAAGATGCATATGACGTTTGCATGGAATGCTACGCAATGGGACGATCCTGCGCCTGCCTCTCTGGCCTTCAGTGGTGTGAGCAGTGGTCGTGGTCAGAACTGACTGATAACTACGAAGCTTGGAAAGCAACAGTCATCGCCATTGATGGCCACGTTGATTTAGAATCCTCTCCTTACCCGCTTGAGGTAGCTAGGCAGAGAGCAGGAAAGAAATCTCTCGCTCAGATTTGCCAAGAAGCTCTACGGCGTCGTCCTTGGAAAGACATTACTAAGCCAGAGCGAGAAAAGACACCAAGTGACTCTGAGCAGGGTGATGCCGACGATAAACCAAATAAAAAGTCAAGAAGAAAGAAGAAGAAAGGGGAAGTCCACCGATGTCATGTCTGCTGTCATCCGGATTACAGCTATCGGGTACATCTATGCACGAACCCTGGTTGCTCCGAAGCCTACTGCTACGGCGTTTTATACCGGGCATTCGATCTCATGCCACAAACTGTTTTAGAAGACGAACATTGGCAGTGTCCCAAATGCCTCGGGATATGTAACTGTGGCCACTGCCGCCGCACAGGCACTACGCAGCCATACATGCCAAAGAACACATCTCTTGGACATGATACTCGCCGGATCGCCGATGACCGCAGCGTAGAAGCATTAGTTGATTTCCGAATTCATAACCTGTCATGGTTGAAAGCCGCAGGGGAAGAAAGCCGCAGTAAAAACAGCAAGAGAATGCAACTGCTACGGGAACAAGCAGACAACGCCAAAGCACAAGATGCACTGACACACGCTCAAGCAGAGGCAGAGCCTAGGGTGCAATCCAGCGCTGTTTTCACCGCACAGGCAACAGAAACTTCTGCAATCAATGGCTATGGAGACCAAAGCCAAGTGCTGGGTCGAGATGGAGGAACTTCGACAGATTATTCGTTTGATGTGGTCAATAACCACACTATTAACGTCGACGACGTGCCGCAAAATGATGCGGCCGCTCCCGCAGCCAATGTCAGAGAGCGAGAGGATGTGGATTCATCCCAGTATCCTGATCCATCAGTGTTCGCACGCCAGCGTATAGGAATGGGTTACTATGAACAGGATGACACTCCGGATAAAATTCTTTTTGATCCATACCAAGCGCCTTCCGCGGATTCAATGGAAGCTGATGAGCCAACTATTCCAGAATTTGTAAAGAAAACTATTCGGGCAGCGAAGAGGAAGGCAAAGCGGGAGATTGAAGATCCCGAGTTCACCATTCGTAAAAGTCACCACAAAAGACCCAAGCTCACGGCAGAGCCATCCGATTTTCTTGACAACATGGATCCAGCTCTTTTTGTAGATGGGGGCTCGGCAGCAACAGTCAAGCAAACAACTGCCACTTCTCTCTTAGATGGTGATGCTTCTGCCAAATCGTCAGCGGTTCATCATGAAGAGCCGGATATAGTACCGGAGATATCTTCGCCTCGACCTTTTGACATCAATGAGCCAACTCTTCGACATGCCAAGCCACGAGCATCGTATGTAGAGGTTGATGATCTGGATATAGACGAATTAGAGGAAACCGAAGCGGCTTCTTTGCCGTCTCCGAAAGCGTTGATGAGCTCAGCGACGGTCGACGGTTCATTAGCCGTGCAAACGACCGAGAAGGAACTGGAATCGAGCAAACCCGAAGTTCAACACCCGGATGGAGCATTTCAGGAGACGGTCGGGGATGTGATTCCAAAGAAACGCGGTCGACCCCCAAGGAATATGCAAAAGACAGCATCGCCAGTGACTACAGAGATTATGCCGCCGCCGCCGCCACCACCACAACTTGATGGCGGGAGGAACAGACGAAGGCGGGGTCGTCCAAAGAAGTCGCTGTCTACGCTAGAATTACTCGAAGAGGACTTGGCAGCATCTCATGATAAAGAAACTCGTGGAACGGAATCTCTAGCAGTGCAGGAAACGTCCCATGATGGAGATACCCGTCCCATTGAGGGTTCCCAGCCACGACGTAGGCTTTCCAGGCCTACAGGCGTCACCACCATTGCTGCTCACGTTCCTCGGGAGGATCAGCATCTTACCATAACTGATGAAGTTTTGACCGAGGATGAAGCAGTAGATCAAGTACCGAAAAAGAAGAGAGGTCGGCCCCGAAAATCTGACGTTTCTACTCGAGGTAGATCCTCGCTGAATGTGGTCTTGCCGATGAATACTCGATTTATGTCTATGGCCGAACGGATGGCTCTTAAAGGGAAGTCATTCAAAATTGGCACACGGAAATCACGGAATGTCTCCAAGGCGGAGCAAAACAAGGAACACCTCACCGAGTCTAAGACATCGAAAAGGAGCTCTCAAGTAGCAGACGCTTCTGAAGAAGACGAAGGGGAGGGCAACAGTGACCAAGGGCGCACTGGCAGAAGCATCAAGCTCACTGAGACGATGATGCGTTCTCGGTCCAGCAGCTCCAAGGAATCTACAGATGACGAAGATATACCATCGAACGGGCGTGCAGTTAAACGTATTGGGCGGTGAAGAGAGGTTCGGTAAAAAGAACTTGAGAGGGCTGTGAAGATGGCAATACTAGGCCAGCTAAAGTAATAATACTGTCATAGGTGGCGCCCAAACGGAGTATGAACCATGTTGTACGATACCTAAATATACAAAATAAGTAAAACTGCTCCGTATTGATTTCTGGAGAGCCACAATGCTCTTGTAGCTGTGATGAGGCAACTATGACTGGAAGCTTCTCGGCATGAGAAATATCCCGTGATTTTTGTTTTGTAATTTTTTTCTTTAATATAGACTATTAACAGTACGTCTTGTTTCAAGTTATACTATATTTATAATTCTCTTAGTTTTCTTGCCCAGCTATAATTAGGACCTTGGTTCACTGTTAAGTACTCCTTGATATTTGACCAACATATGCAACCCTGGAGGTGGTATGCGTTGAGGCGCTCTTCAGTGTTCCAAAATTTCTACCTGCAACTACAGTGCTGAAAATACAAAGAGCTGTCGCGGGCAGTTAGCTTCTGATGAACGTCGATACTCTGATGGGGCCGCGGGAAGACTTACATTGTTGGTTGCGGCTATGGCAATACTATCCTCGAATGGATGCCAGCTCATGTGTAGTATCTTCTTGTTGAAGTCAATCTGGTCCGCGTCCGTCTCTTTCCGCATTCTCTGGCCCTGGGCACCACCAGCTGGGCTGCCCGCTCTTGATCCTCCCTTCTTCCCACCATTCGCAGCTGTGGGACTTGTGGATGAATTAATAGGTGTAGGAACGCCCACCTTCTTTGCCTTGAAAGCTGATTTGTCCGCTTGGAGAACCACCTCCACCTCCTTATCGGGATCGGAAGGATAGATCATGAAGTTGTTGTTGTAACTTCCAGTCATGACATTCTTGGCATCGCCGGAAAAGACGACCTCGAACTTGTCGAAAATGCTGTCGTTTTCGTACGTATCGCATAATCGAGGTCGTAGATGCTCGTGGATGGGTATCGTCTTGACGGGTTGCCGCTCCATATTGATGTCCCAGATCTTGACGGTGAGATAATCTCGAGATAAGACATATCTTCCATCATAGGAGAATCGCACATCTGATATTGACGAGATGATCTCAGAAAAGAACGATCTAGATGAAGGATCTTCCTCTTGTTCGAATACTAGTAGGATTGTGTCCCTTGGTCAGTCTTCTACACGAAATTGGGGATTAGGATGGACTTGGTTGGATGGATACAAACATTTTGCGTGTTGGTCGCACAAGGCGCTCTCTCGCATATCGGCAAGTTTAATGGTGCCCTTTGAGCTGGCATACATGAACCAGTTGCAGCTGATTGGGTGGAACTCAGCGGCAGTGATCACCTCAGTCAGCTCCTCCATGTTGGCTGGTTTGATGTCAACAATGTTGAAGCTCTGATCTTGAATATTGAGGTTCCAAAGGTTGATTCGCAAATCGTCACTGCTAATGAACGTTTCGCCATCACTGTTCACGGATATGCTGTTGATGTGGTACGCGTGGGCGTTTGCATAGGTTCGTCGGGGGACGGCGGCGACAACAGTATCGTGGTGTGTGAGGCGAGGCAATTTGAGGTCGGCCGCATTTCTGAACTGCTGGGACGTGGGGAGAGCTCGAAGACCACCGCCTCCGCCCACCGGACCGCCAGGCGTTACATCGTGGGAAAGATTGTTCTCTGCCACCACCTTCAGAGACTTTTCAAAAACCTTCCACAGCTTGATCGTCTTGTCATTGGTTGATAGGAGGTAATGGGAAGCATTCTGTCGGCGGCACCACTTGATCTTGTTGATCTTTTCCTCGATCTCGAGAGACTTGAGGTAGTCAAACTCAGGCTCGTGGGATTGAAACTCGGTGTGAAATTTGTATTCACAAGATTTTTTCTACCAAGAATTAGAAAGGCGGCGACCACCAGATGATTATTGCGAGCTGAGCAGGGGGCAATACCGTCTCGTTGCGTTCAAATAGAACGACTCGCCCTCCCTTGTCACCGGTCGCAAGATAGTTGCCTGTGTGGTCAAACTCTACCGTTGAGATGATGTCGGCTGTGGCCCCGCGGTCAGTATCACACAACATACGTCAGAGGAGAGGACGCGGCGAACCTTCGGTGATATCCTCAACATCGCCCTTGTCGCCGAAGCATCTGGGAATCCGATTTAGCTGCAAAGTCCAATTTCAGGAAGCTCTAGCACAGGCACATACTGGGTAAACTTCCAGGTTGGTGAGCTCGCTTCACTGTCGACCATTTTGGTTGGCAGCGATAGCAGGGATCAGAGGTGGCACAGGCAGCCGGGGTGACGAGATACAGCGCAACAGGAGGTCAATGAGGGGTGATGGGTCGTGGCGCTTGATGAGTCCAGTTCGCGGCAGCGTGGTGAGGATTCGGGCGTGGCAAGAGTCGCGAGGGTCTGGGCTTTGTGGAGGAGCAATCAGTCTTTATGATGCAGATGATGTCGTTTGCTGTTGCACTTGGCGGGCTGAAGAGAGACCACACAGCTAGACGTTACTAAGAGGTGCCACAGCTATTGGTGGGGCACGGGGAGCAGAGAAGCCAGATACTTGAGACTACTAGGTAAGGTAGAGGGGTTGGGTTGGGCCGGATATGATGCGCGTTGGAGTTAGTAACGCCATTTTCCAGCTACGGGAAGCTCCCAAAAGGTGGCAGCCCAACTGGAGAAATTTGGGGGGTAAAGCAAAGCATAAGACGATACGTTACGTGTGCTACAAGGATCTACAACAAAAACAAATATTGCCTTGCTGAATACTGACTTTTACACTGTTTGCATTTGTAGTACTTCATTAACTTAATTATTATTTTTGTCTTCATAAATTCAGTTATACAAGCTTGCATCGCATCATGATTGCTCCCTGATGCATTCTAAGGCGGGGCACTTCCCCCCGTACGTTTCTGACATGGCCACACGCAGGTAATGGATGCGATGTTTCGAGATAAGGAGGCGTGGGCAAGGTTGATATAGGTATATAGGTAGGTAGAGATGCCCTCCTCTTCTTTTCTTTTCTTTTTCTTTCTCGTCTTTGTTTTTATCGAGTACGTAGTATCTGTTCAATATGCTCTCGGCTGTTCTTGTGCGTCGTCTCGAGATACAGCAATCTTTGGTTCAGTCGATCAACATCACCATCAAGATCCTGCATCTGGCGTTGTAATTTCTCGTGCAAGGTATTGGGAGGAAGAGAAACAAACCTACACCCCGGGAAGAGTCAACGTTAGTTCTATCACTGTGTAGCTGCCATGCCTCGTGACCTGTCCGCTTGTACTTACATTTTCCCCACGCCTTCATAAACAACAGAATCGCTTGGAAAGCTCTGTAATTCGCTAATGGTTAACCGCAGTAGGCGTTGTTCTCGCTGTTTGCCTGCGATTTGACTTCGAACCATGCCGATTTGTTGTTGCGCTGCGATGGCCTGCGACTCGATCTCGAGCGCCAGCTAGCAAGATTGGTCAGTGTGAGCTGCAAAGTCCGCAGTCATCAGGCTCACCTTTTGCAGAGCTTCATTAGATATAGACATGATTAGCAACTGGGTATTACCTCGAGGTAGCTCAAGGTAGGCCCAAAGAATCAACGGAATAGCGCCGAGAGTCCACAAGAGAAGCACCTTGAACAGTGCTTTGGTAAGGTAATCCAGCAGCTCGAATACGCTTTGGGAATTGCTGCTAGTCTAACGCTATTTGGTCTTAGCTTCTTTTGTGAAATGTTTCTGAACTTCAAGATATGATAAGAAAACTGAATCAAATGGAATAATATTGATAGCTATACTTATTTTTTCCCAATAGAATTCAGAGAGAGTAAATACTTACTGAAATTAATACATGAATTCTACTATTTGAAAATTTTTTAAGACTACTCTCCTCGTGAAGGGTTAAATTTTGGATGAAAGTGCCTGACAGTCTCTTCACAGTGCGCGTTTCCTTGGTCCGGAAACTTTAACACTAGTATCGACATTTCGCAAACTTGGACCAAGCTATTTTTTCCCCCATGCATGTCTTTCACGTGCAGCAGCTGTGTTGAGACCTCAAACATCCCTCATCATTCATTACCTTCTCTCTTTATTGTTATTCACATATCAAGAGTCGCACGGTCAGATCAGGCTTCTTGTTCTTGATTTTCCGCCACACGATTAATTACCCTCCTCCCGCAGCCGCAAATTCAGCCGCGCGTAGTCGCGTTCCCTCTGCCTCGATTCGGAGCCCAAGAACTGTTCAGCAGCATCAAACGGTTCGATTCTCCTCACGGCAGGCATAATCCAGCATGGGTATTCCCGCAGCCTTCCGATGGCTATCCAACAAATATCCCAAGATTATTTCTCCCGTGATTGAGCAGACGCCAATCACCACTGAAGATGGCATCACCATTCCCGTTGACACCACTCAACCAAATCCCAATGGAGAAGAGCTCGACAACTTGTACCTGGACATGAATGGAATTGTCCACCCATGCTCTCATCCAGAGGATAGGCCTGCGCCAGCCGATGAAGAGGAGATGATGCTTGAAGTTTTCAGATACACGGATCGTGTCGTGAACATGGTTCGTCCTCGGAAAATCCTCATGATTGCTGTTGGTAAGTGTGGCGCCCAATCCTCGTAGTCGTCATGCCTGAGTGATTTATGACTACTGCTTCTGATCAGCGTAAGCTAACAAATGCTCAACAGATGGAGTTGCACCAAGAGCGAAGATGAACCAGCAACGATCTCGACGATTTCGGTCAGCTCGGGAAGCCCAGGAAAAGGAAGAAGATAAGAAGGCGCTAATCGAGCTGCTAAAACGTCAAAATGGCGGTTCTTTCCCAGCTGCCGACACGGAAACCGTTGTCAAGAAGGCTTTCGATTCCAACTCCATTACTCCAGGCACTCCGTTCATGGACATCTTGGCCCTGTGTCTGCGATATTGGTGCCAGTACAAATTGAACACGGATCCCGCTTGGGCTAAGCTCAAGATCATCATATCTGATGCTACGGTCCCAGGTGAAGGTGAACATAAAATCATGTCCTTCATCCGATCTCAACGCACCTCTCCTAATTACGACCCTAATACTCGTCATGTCATCTATGGCTTGGATGCCGATCTCATCATGCTAGGGCTTGCCACCCATGAACCTCACTTCCGAGTTTTACGTGAAGATGTATTTTTCAATGAAGGCAAAAACAGGACATGCAAGCTTTGTGGCCAAAAGGGACACGAGGCAAATAATTGCCGTGGAACTGCAAAGGCCGTTGAGGATGCTGACACTGAAAAAAGCAAGGACAGCTTAACTCCTGTCTTGAAGCCTTTTATTTGGCTCCATGTTTCTGTCCTTAGAGAGTATCTCGCGGCTGAGCTGTCTATTCCAGACCTGCCCTTCAGATTTGATCTAGAACGGGCGATTGACGACTGGATTTTCATGTGCTGCTTCGTTGGCAACGACTTTCTGCCTCACTTGCCTGCTCTGGAAATCCGCGAGCATGGAATCGACACCTTGACCACGATTTGGAGAACCAATCTACCATCCATGGGTGGCTATGTCACTAAAGATGGTCACATCGATTTGGAGAGAGCGCAAGTCATACTTGACGGCCTTGCGAATCAGGAGAGTGCAATTTTCAAGCGAAGAAAAGAACAAGAAGATCGTCGAGAGGCTAATGCCAAAAGAAGGAAGCTTCAAAATGAAGGCTATTCGAGGAACGGGCAGCACGGCTCTGGTCCCAAGCAAAATGGGCATGCAGACCCAACCAAAGGATTGCAACTATTCCCTATTGCGACACAGCCCACAAACTTGCTAGCAAATATCACCCACGATATGGTTGTCAGCCGCGGTGCTGCCCAAGATGTGACGTTGGCCAACAAGGGTGCGGCTAGTGTCATGCGAGACCGGCTGCGAGCAGACACTAGCAAGGACAATGTTGATAAAGACAACGTTAACAAAGACAATGTTGACAAAGATGAGACGGCGTCCGGCACAGCGGCAGATATTACCCAACCACTACCTTCGGCTCTTGGGAAAAGGAAGGCTGCAGAGCTTGATGACACTGCCAACTCCTCTTCAGCAGAGTCATCTAAACCTCAACCTCAGGTATCCCAGGAGATTGAACCTATCGATAACGTTCGTTTGTGGGAAGACGGATACGAAGATCGCTACTACCAGCAGAAGTTCCATAAGGATCCACAAGATATTGAATTCCGTCACAAGGTGGCCGAGGCGTACGTGGAAGGCTTGGCCTGGGTATTGTTATACTACTTTCAGGGATGCCCGTCTTGGGAGTGGTATTATCCTTACCATTACGCCCCCTTTGCCGCTGATTTCAAGAACCTCAGCAAAATGGATATTCGCTTCGAAAAGGGGCGAATTTCCAGACCTTTTGAACAGCTCATGAGCGTCTTACCAGCGGCATCTCGTCATGCTCTCCCCACAGTGTTCCATGATCTAATGTTGAATAAAGACAGCGAGATTATTGACTTCTATCCCGAAGATTTCGAAGTTGATCTAAATGGAAAGAAGATGGCCTGGCAAGGAGTGGCTCTACTTCCATTTATCGACATGTCACGACTCCTCAAGGCGGTTCAAGGCAAGTATCCTCTATTAAGCCCTGAAGATGTTGCGCGAAACACAGTAGGAAGGGAAGTTCTGTTGCTATCCGACAACCACGAGGGCCTTTACGACGATATCTTAACCACTTTCTATTCCAAGAAGCAAGATCGATCAAAGTTTAGTATCAATACAGAACACAGCAATGGCCTTGCTGGGGAAATTGAGAAACAAGAGGACAAGGTTCCCCATGGGGCCTTGAGCTATCCTCTCGAGCGACGATCCATGCCAGATCTAGATTACGACCATTCCATCAGGTGAATACTCAGCTTACTTAATCCCATCACCTTTTGTATCACTAAGCTAATCAGTCGCAGCGTTTACTATGACATGCCCCAGGTATCGCAGACTCACAAATCGATGCTCCTACGCGGAGTGCGAATGCCGCCGCCAGCTTTGACTAGGAGTGATATTGAGGTAATTCGAGGCAAAACCAACAACCGAGGAGGTCGCAACTATGGAGGACCCCCACAGCACTACGGCAATAACAATGGTGGCTGGTACAGGGGTGGCTATTCCGGTGGCTATAGGGACACTCGAGACTCTTATAACGGACACAATAGGGACAACCAACGCTTCGAGCCGCAGTATAATGCGCCTTATGGTATGCCGCAACCTGGGAGATGGCAGCCTTCAGGCGGGCCATCGTTTGACCCGAGAGCAGGTCCGCCACCAGGTACATATGCCCAACCCCAGCAAGGCTGGTCCGACAATAGGAACGACTACAACCGCCAAGGGAACGACTACAACCGTCAAGGGAACGACTACAATCGCCAAGGGAACGACTACAATCGCCAAGGGAACGACTATAACCGCCAAGGAGGGCGCGGAGGGAACTATGGAAACCGGCCTCATTACGGTGGTGGTCAACGGCGCGGACGTGACTATGCGTAACTGATATAACTCGCCATCCTGTGCGTATGTGAGGTAATTCGTCCTTCCCGAAACGCACATATATGCTGTAGGAGTGTTTTATCAAAGGGCAATGCTATGCTGCCCAGCAAATCATGGACGCCAGAGAGTCATCTTGCTCGTACGTAAACAAAGTTAGTTACCTCACACATCAAGACTTATACGTGTCTGTGTGTTTGACAAGGTACATGATTAATAGTAATAGATATATCAATGCTAATTCCGTCTTTATTACTTTAATTTCAACCAAGGCCGCCCCAGATGCCTCGGATTCTCCTCGCAAGCTGTATATCTTTTTGCATAAGTGTAACTCTCTTTGCGTGGACAGCGCATAGCTGCGCATCCTCAAAAAGATGTACCATAAAGGCCTCCGCGGCCTCTTGTAGTGCCTGAATAGCCTGACTCTGCCATCTGAAGTCTTTCCCTCTCGGCCGACAATTCAATCCAATTTCACGAACCTAACCACTATCAAAAAACACGTCCAGATGGGAATGGGGGGCAAGCGCAGCACTCACAAGGCGCATGAATGGTAGTTTTAACAATAAAAGCTTTGTATTTGACTGGTATTGCCTGATCTCTCGCAACGCAACGGTGCCCGGCCGATATCGTCGCTTCTGTCTTGTAGGTAATGGATCGCCCGCTAAACGACGGTTAGCAGACTGTAAAGAGGAAGCTCCGGGGTTGTCGAGAACGCACGCTGTACATCGCTTGGTCTGGAGCGCAATTTCTGTGAGGCCGCCGAAGTTTTTTGACGAGGAGCCATTATAGAGAGGGGTATCAATTATACAGAAGGAAGCGTGAAGAAAGAAAAACCATGCGTGATGGCCAACTCGTGGGCTACATCGAGGCGCATTGGGATCAAGAACAAAGACTATTTTGTTCGTGTGGAACGACGCGTTGCTGGTCAACCCGGTGACAGCCATGCCCGATAAGATAACGCGACCTAGCTAACCATGTTGGGGCTATTTTTAGAAATCACGGGCAAAAGCTGAGTGCTGAGAAACAATACATAAAGGCATGTAAAATAATTTTAATATAAACCAATATAACATTTTATAAATATATAGATCTTTATACTCCGTATATTGCCTAGATATTACATTAAAACTAGAAGGCCTTTGAGACTTAGTATTATTGGCAAGATGGGATGCTGAATAGCGAAATTGGGGTGCTGAATGGGCGTTCCCCTAAATTAACATGGCATACTGTGACATGCATAAGGGCCCCTAGGCCAGGGTGTTTTCTAGAAGCTTTCCGCAAAGCTCAATTTAACTGTGGCCCATACTAGAGTATGTGGAAGCTCTACCTAGCGCAACCAGTTTCGAACACCAATTCTCAACCAAGGACATGGGTGAAGTGACGACATGTTCTCTATCTCCAGCACGCCAGCGAAACAGTCCGCTGGCGAAACCATCACTGTTCTCAGTGGCCGACTTGCTTCCGCAACTCTCCTCGAAGATCGGCGCGCTGCAGTGCTAGGCTTGCGAAGCTTCGCAAAGGATTTCCCAGCATCGGTAGCTTCTGGAGCGTTGAGGAGCCTGATTGGTAGCCTCTCTAAAGACTCCGAAGATGTCGACACAATAAAAATTGTTCTGGAAACTTTGCTGATGCTGTTCAACCCCAACAAGGAAAGCCCCGAAGCATCAGACGAAATCGCATTATGGCTGGCCGACGAATTCACCCAACGACAGGAGAATATTACGCTTGTGCTGGACTTCCTCGACGCTCCTGATTTCTATTCACGACTATACTCTTTGCAGCTTCTCAGCTCAATCCTTACAGCACGAACTCAACGAACGGAAGAATGTGTCCTCTCTGCGCCATTGGGCATCAGTCGACTTACGGGCGTTCTTGACGACCAACGAGAGGCAATTCGCAATGAAGGTGTCAACCTGTTAATACTAGTAACGTCTAGCTCCATCGAGATACAGAAGCTCGTTGCATTTCAAAATGCCTTCGACAAACTATTTGCCATTATTGCTGCCGATGGCTCGCTCTCCGAGGGCGGGAGGACCGTGGAGGATTGTTTGATACTCCTGGCCAACTTATTGAGGGGCAATTTGGCTAACCAGTCTCTGTTCCGGGAGTCTGGTTGCATAGGCAAGCTCACAGAGATGCTCAAGGGACTGCTGGAAGCTCAGAAGCAGGAAGACAACATTGCCAAGTGGGCACAGATCCAGCACAATCGCAACATTTACGCATTCATCTCCATCATCCGTTTATTCCTATCTGCAAGCTCCGCTGAGACGCATCAGAACCAAGCCACCTTCTGGAGGCATGGGCTCAGCTATCTTGTCTTGCAGCTCGCATTCGATGCCGACGTTCAAATCCAAATCAAAGCCGAGGTGCGACGGCCTGCTCCCCTGCTTTTTAATCGTTTGAGTCGCAATCATAACATTTCGAGTAGGCTTTGGCCACATGTGGCGATTTGATCCGTAACAACATGACCATCCAGGAAGGCTTCGCCTCGCTCATGGTTCCTCCACCCCTGGAATCCACCGCTGGAGCTACAAGTGCACCTAACGGCCATTCTAAGATCTATATCATTGATGGCTTACTGGACCTGACGCTGAACGTGCACGATATTTCCGCATTTGACTTACGATTCGCCGCTTGCCAATGCCTAAAGGCCTATTTTTCCAACCACCCCGAAGTAAAATCTCACTTTTTAGGCAGGGCCATAGAAGGCTACCAGTCTGGCCGTGACGAATCTGCCAACATCTTGAGTGTTTTGCTGAGATTACCAGGGGATGTATTTTTGAGCGATCCATACCGTGTGTGGTTTGCCTCTGTTATCGCATTCCATTTACTCTATGACAATCCTGCTGCTAAGGGAGTGGCAAAGGGTTTGACCGAAGGAGATGCCTCCAAGGGCGAGGAAGTAGTGACCAGCATACAGACGATCACGGCGCATCTTCTCATGCGGATACGTCGAGATGATGACACCCGCATACTAGTGGGATATCTAATGTTACTCCTTGGCTGGCTATTTGAGGACCTTGATGCTGTCAACGATTTTCTGGCCGAAGGCAGCAATGTCCAAGGTCTCATACAGGTAATCTCACAGCCAGTTCGCATCGCGGGAGAAGTCGTACAAGGTCTATGTGCCATGTTGTTGGGCGTCGTCTATGAGTTCTCAACGAAAGATTCACCCATACCACGAGCAACTTTACACTCTATTTTGGAGTCGCGGCTTGACAAAGACGGTTACTTGGATCGGCTGGCAAAACTTCGAAACCATCCCTTGCTCCGAGAATTCGAAGTTACACCACAAAAACTCATCTCTACCCCTGATGGTGAAGAGATCAACGTGTTTTTTGACGATGTTTTTGTCGATTTCTTCAAGGATAACTACAGCCGTGCAATCCGCGCCATTGATAAGGTGCCCGATATGGAGGTCTCGGTTATTACGAATGGTACGGAGCAGGGTATTTCAAGGCAGCTTGTAGACTCTCTGCGGAATCAAATAGATGAAAAAGACCACGCAATTCAAGAAGCCAACAAAGCCAATAAGTCTTTGGAAGGGGCAGTTAAAGAGGCTCAGGAAGCGAATCGCCGTGCAAAGGAAGATGCCGAGGCCACAGCGGCGAAGCTGACGACAGAAATGCGGTATGTTTGGAGTCTTTGACATATTGAGTGCTCGGATCACAACTAAACCATGTCTCTAGCAAACTGCAAAGTCAACATGCTGCAAAAATCTCGGAGTATGAGCAAAGAGCTGCTCAAATGCAACAGCAACTCAATGCGAAAGACTTGCAGCTTCAAACCCAACTTGCTGCTAAGGATCAGTATCTACAAACCCAGCTGAATGGCAAAGATCAACAACTCCAAAATCAGCTAAACCAGGCTAAAAAAGCGCACGAAGTAGAAGCAGAACGTGCGAGACAGCGAGCGGAAGCTGAAATCGCAGATTTGCGGGCAACTGTTAGCAGGCTTGAGGTTGACGTGATGAAGGTGAATAGACGTAGACATAGTAACCTGGATAGCTTTCTATGGATTTGGCTAATTGGAATTCTTTGCAGGCCAATAAGAGCAAGACTGTTGAACTTCAGGCGCTTCGCGCTGAGCATGCCGATCTATTGAAAGAGCATACCGCGCAACTAAAGGAGGCCAACGGAAAAGCGGAAGAGAAGGAAAAGGAGCTGAAGAATACGACAGAAGAGGTTGAGCGGCTACGAGAACAGGTCGAGGAGCAGCGGAAAGAAGCTGAGAAACGGCAAGATGAATATGAGAAGTTACAGGATGAAGTCGAGAAATTACAGGAGGAGGCCAAGAAGCTACGAGAAGAAGCTGAAAAGTCACAAGAAGAAACTGAGAAGCTACAGCAGGAAGCTGCGAAGGTGAGACATGATGGATTCGACGTCAATATAGCGTTGCTGACACGTATCACTAGGCAAAGCAGGCCGTGGCAGATGCAGGTAAGGCCAGAGACGCAGTCCAGTCGGAACTAGACGATCTTCTCATGGTATTCGGTGATTTAGAGGAGAAGCTGGGAAAATACAAGGTAGGCGATCCCGTCGTACATGAATTCATTCGTGCACAAGGAAAAGAAACACTCCATACTAATGCAAGGTGCCATTAGACTCGATTGAAAGGGCTTGGCCAGGAGGTATCTGACGGTGAAGATGATGACGGAGACGACGGCGAGGAAGAAAGCGATGCCGAGGAGGATGGGAATGACGTGGACTGATTTGGGGCATTTAGAGCGAGGCCACCAGCATCTTTGCGGCAGAATTGAGCATTATCCAAAAAGGTAGATAAAATTTACAGCAGATTTGAAAGAAGATGTGAGCTGAGAAAAAGCATCGCCATCGTCAGAATGCCAATAAGTTCTGAATGTGGTTGATTGGAGGCATGATACAGTAGCTGAAGCTTGGGGTTTTTGTGGGGAAAGCACATACCTATATAAGATGGTTTAGCATAGGAATTAGTTGGAGTGGGACCTCCCATCGAACTCACCTCTTGCCTTTTACCAGATGTGACCGTGGGATTGGCCCAACAGACTCCATTTCAATAATCTTTGGCATTACTCATCTGGATGGTTCCAGGTTCGAACACAGTTGGAGATTTTTTCTCTCAATTTTTTTGTTCTTTATTTTTGCATTTTCCAGTTCTTAGATGGATAGAGAATTGTAGAAAGATGCTCTAGAGATATAAAAAAGCACGGCTCTTGCGCTTCTGGACGTGTAATAGACATTAGTTGGTGATTTTGTCGTACATGAAGCCCTACTAAGTAGGTATCTGTTACAGCAAGGTGGGGCCGTGATGTCTGTAGAAGAAAAACAGCCTGTGTAGTACGGAGTACCTGAGTCGCACTAGGATCTCAGGGTGTATACTCCGAAAGTGCAATCACTACTTATCACTTACTGTTTTGTGGAGTAGGAAAGATGTACCTTTTGTGAGTGTGAAGTAACTTTCTGCGCTTGTTGGGAAATATGGTGTCAGTGCTACCTGCAGCTTAGTACACTAAAAAAAAAAAGATGCTGTAAATTTCCTACGCCAAAAAGAAGGAAGAAGCAACTGCCAAACCGCAACAAAATTCGCATCCACCGTAGAAGAAGAAAAAAATTACGGTGAAAAAATGAGTGCGAGATCAGAATCCGGGTCGTCCTCGGCCACTTCTGACGTATCAAATGAGGGAGAATGGCTTGACATTGAGAACGATGAAGAGTCCATCACCATTGTTTCCCTGTTCGACTCGCAGACATTCTCTAGCTGGAACGAGATGCTCGATAGCTGCAAAAAGCATCACGATTTCGACTTTATTGCCACCATTAAAAATCTCCAGCTCGATTTTCACGGCGCGGTGAAGCTTGTCAATTATATCCGCAGCCGGGTCCGGGATCAGCAGCCCGTAGCTAAAAACCTAACCCTTGCAGACTTTGAGGACGACGGCTACTTTAAGCCTGTCCTTGAGAATGATGCTCTTATCGTGTCTTTGGATGAGATTCTCGACAGCGACCTGGTCAAGGCCGACACAACTGCGAGCCAGTTGGACAGCTCTCAGGGGGAGCTATTGGTGCAGAAGCAAGCTCTGGAGGCTGAGCTGGAATCCGTCCGGACTCAGTTCTCAAATTATCGACTTGCTGTTCAAGAAACATTGGATCGTCGATGGGGAGATGACACGGAGCAGAGCCCAGCCAAGGCTGTCAAGGGTGATCGCGGAAACTATTATTTTGAATCCTACGCCTACAACGGTGAGTGCCTCTTTATGCGTGGGCTAGGCAGACATATACTGACAGTCTCAGATATTCATGAGACCATGCTGAAGGACACAGTCAGGACTGATGCTTACCGTGATTTCATTTACAACAACAAGCACATCTTCAAGGGCAAGGTTGTGCTCGATATTGGCTGCGGCTCAGGTAAGAGATGCATTCATGATCAACAGGTTTAACCTACACGATCCTAACTTGTGTTTGTAGGAATTCTGAGCATGTTCTGCGCAAAGGCTGGTGCAGCTCGAGTTATTGCTGTCGATAATTCAGACATCATTAAGAAAGCTACTGAAAACATCTTCAACAATGGCCTTTCTGACATTATCACCTGTGTCAAAGGTGCTATCGAGGAGGTCAAGTTGCCTGTTAACGAGGTCGACATCATTGTCAGTGAGTGGATGGGCTACTGCCTATTATACGAGGCGATGCTTCCCAGCGTTCTCTATGCCAGAGATCGATACCTCAAGCCTGATGGCCTATTGGTTCCCAGTTCTGGTACCATCTGGATGGCGCCCATCCAGGATACGGAGTACATGTCAGAACACATATCTTATTGGAGAGACGTCTATGGATTCGATATGAAGGCAATGCAAGAGGGTATTTACGATGATGTTAGGGTCGAAGCAATGCCCCAAAACACTCTCTGCGGAGAACCATACCCCTTCAAGGTACTCGACCTCCACACGATAAAGCCTGAGGAGCTATCCTTCACAGCTAGATGGGAGTCAAAGCTGCTGCGACGGCCAGATGGGCTCGACGGTTTCTTAATCTGGTTCGATAACTTCTTCGCCACCTCTAGAAGTGAGCCCGTGCCAGAGCCCACGACGACTCCCGAAGTGTTCGGAAAGGCGAAGAATGGCAACGTCGCATTCACAACCGGCCCCTCTGGCATTGTGACTCACTGGAAGCAAGGGCTGCTTTTAGTACCACCAGAAAACCCTCCTTCCAAGCTGGAGTTGCCAGAGACAATCTCCGGGCAAATTACTTTTGCAGCCCTTGAGGAGAATGCTAGAGCTTTGAGAATCGATGTCACATGTTCCTCTGGAAGCAAAGAAGGGAAGAAATGGTCCTGGAAATTGGAGTAGAGAGTAATTTCTAAGCATTGAATAGACTCAGAATTGTCATAAAACAGTGGCCGGCGGTTGCGAGTCTCTAGTAGTGAGGTACTTTCAGCGCTTGTAGCCATAGATTAACAATGCTCAGAAATCCTTCTCCCAGGATAAAGCCCTGCATACAATGTCAGCGAGCGCAAATTGTGCCAAAGTACAAGCAAGGCCTTACCGATGCAATGATGATTAATGGCGTGGTCGACTGTTTTCGTACGCTGAGCCAATACCAGCTAACAATACCTCCAATGGCTCGGGCCAGCGTAAACGATGGCACGTTGTACATGCCTTGATATAGAATTAGATGAAGCCATTTTATACCGGAGATGCTCGAGATTTACTCACCGACTGCTACAGCAATGCCGCCCGGTATCCAAGAGCGCCATGGTCTCCCAACAGACAGAGTTCGCGCAAGAGTGGTCACGGCGAAGAGAACTCCGGCGCCGGTTGCCCATTCCTTGGCCATATATGGCAAGCCCTGCCCTGTTACGAGCCTAGCAGTGAATATCCAGACGTAGGCTGTTGGAACCTGGAAAAGTTTGCCGGGAATCTCGTACACCCTGCCGCCAGTAGCAATATGAGTCAGTGAAAAGGCGTAATATATACAGACTCCAAAGTCCAATATTGATGTCAGTGACTTACGCTGTGTAAATGCGATATGCGAAAGCAGAAAACACAGCACCAAATGTAGCGCCTATGAGTTGTCCCCAGAATTGTGCTTTGGGAGCAGCTCCAAGAAGATGGCCAGTCTTCAAATCTTGCATCAGGTCACCCGCTTGCAATGCGCCCTATTGCGATGTTAGGGGAACTTGACACATGTATGATGATTCTCATTTTCTAGGGGAACTTACAGCTTCCGACTAAAAGTGATTCCAATAATTAGTAAAACTGACAGGGAACGAGAAGGGGCAAAGAGCAGGAGTATGCTTACGATGGCACCGGCGACTAGATTGATAAGAACGCTCGATTTGTTAGACTGCGGGATGATTAGAGCAAAGAATAGCTGTGCAAGCTTGCTAATGCCGGACACTGGATTAAGATCAGTCTCTCCAAGGGCCCTGACGCCCATGATACTCAAAACCAGGGCCATGAGCACAGCAATGACAATCGCGTAAAGGGGCACCAGATGGCCAAACACGATTTGTGTAGACAGAACGCAAATCAGTATAGATGCGAGAAGCCCCCAGAAAACAACTTTGCTGTCAATCTGTTGGTCAGTCGGGGCATCGTCCAGTCCACGATCCTCTGCCTGGGCGGGAGAAGCTTGGTCATCGTCATCTTCATCTTCATCTTGTTCTTCTTCCTCTCGCGCTTCACTGGGAATTTGAGAATATTGATGAGATGTTCTAAACAAAGAGGCAATCCTGCTCTGTCGAAAGCGACGCTGTAATACTGCTAGAGCTGGAAGGGTATGGGTGGTGAAAACGGGGCGAAGAGCAATATAGGTTAGACTGACAACAGCGTCAACAAGCATAATAGCCAACGACACCCAGACAATCCAGCCTTTGCTGCCGTTTTCCCAATCATCCACCGGACCGGGAGCCCAGCCCTTCATCTTGGCCAGCGGGCTAAGAACGCCCCAGCCAATAATTGCGCCGAGCGTCATGTGGAGCGTCGTCTCGGTCCCCATGATGATGCCTTGTCCCACATACGCAAGGCTTGGGTTCAAGGTCCAAAGCCAAGTAGAGGCGGCGACAGTGCCGAAGACTGGGAGGTCTCGCAAAATAGGCAAGAAATAGTTGCAAATTGTGAAGATGCCGGAGACAAGGAAACTGAGGAGCAAAAGCCTCATATTGTACGCCCAGTCCAAGTCCTTTGAGACTTCTGGTTCTCCCTCTTCCTCTTCAGCGGAGGCGCCGACGTCTTCTACCAACGCGGGTTCATCATCTTTGGCTGCTGCAAGACTGGCGAATCCGCCTTTAGTGGCGGCATCTAGCTCTTGAGGAGAAGACTTCTGCCCTCGACTGTGGAGAACGCGGATGAGCACTGCAGTGCTGAAGCCGCTGGGGAATCTAAGTCGTTCTCTAATGATGACTTGATGGCGCCTGAGGTCATACACACACATTCTTATCTCAGCCAACCCGTGATCTCACTTAACTTCATTATAGAGCAATAAAATACACTTACAAGGGGACGGCAAAGACGACGCCAAAATAGCAAAGACCCAGGGACCAGATGATGAGCTGCCAAGTGCTCAGTGATAAGGGTCCTTGCTCATTAGGCTCCAGCAAGTAGTTCATCGCGGGAATCTATATACCATCAGCATGGGTAATCTGACGAGTTATTATGAGAAGTAAACGCTTACAACTCCGACAAAGCCACACCCAAGAGGCATGATGGCCATGCCGCCGGCAACGCTCTGAACCAGCACATTTTCCACCGGACTGAACGGGAAGCGCAAGTGAGGCTTGAGCAGCTTGAAGACGGCAAATCCCATGAGACTTGACGGCATCGACATGATGGAGACCCAGCCTGTCTGCAGGCCAAAGTACATGTTGGCGGCGCATATGATGGTACCAACAGCAAGGCCGGCAGCCACACCGCGAACGGTGAAGCTGCGCCCTTGAGGGGACGGAGAAGCCATTGTTAGGGGGCTGTTGGCGCTATATGCATTTGGAGTCTATTGGGATGCTAAATCAGTTAGTTAGTCAACCGCGAATAGCTGTAGCCCGATCAGAATGATGAATCCGGTGCTTTTCTTTCACCCTTTCGTGAGCTTGTAAGATCAGATACAAGCTCAAAGGGTGCACAGCTTATGAGGAACTGCTCGGCTTTCAGTGGCTCCTCGGTATTACTAATTTGAAGATACCATGCAAGGGCGCGCGCACTAGCGCGTCGACCAATAATCGTGCCGAGAGAGCTGTATTACACCATCGTCTATCTCGTCCTTCAACTTCGTCAAAATATATATCTGGAGAAATTTATTTATAAAGCTTATGGATGAAGTCTGAATTGAGGTTTAATAAACATGCTACCCCATTTGACCTTTATTTTCTGTTCAAAGTGGGATCCCTCAAGACAGGCTATTCAGTATAACTGCTTAACCGGTATATGTGATATACAAAGCCGTGTCTACTATACCCTTTGCGCCTGACATACGCCCATCGAGCTGTGCATCTATTGAACCTTTTTGTCCTGGTACTGATCGTCATCTATCCTCTTTAAATACGGGATGGATGTCAACAGCCTCGGCCAGACGAGTATATACTTGGTGTCTTGTCCATCTAGGCACTGCCGCAACCAGATGCCCCAGATGATGTAATAGTACGCTATAAGTCTGGTCAGCAAGCATGAACTCGTTAATGGCATCCAAATACAAATTCAGCGAAGAAATCAAGTTGTGGATATGATCAGAGGAGGAAAACAATGTCGTCCAAGGGAGCGCTTAAGCAGTCGATTTACCTCCTAACCCTGTCATCAGGTGCCACCAAGCGTGGCCCTCCAGCAGTACGGCCCAGGGAAGGCCAATCGCGTGTCTCCATTGTCGCACTTGGGAACAGAAAACATTGTCAAGGTTCCAGATTAGGAAGCCGCCAAGGAAAATACTGAGTCCTTTGCAGATTGTTAGCTCGTTGTACATTGCAATCTGATCCAAGCAATCAGTTTGACGAACCAGTAGCTACCATAGTCCACATTGTGTTGAGCACGTAGGACGCCTTTTCTGGATCGCGGGCACTCAATACAGGTCGCAACTGCGATTCCATTACCCACATGCTTCGGAAAACAATAGTTGCCGTAAGTGCAGCATAAGCGGTTTGGTGGAAGACAGGATCCTTGGTGATGTGATAATAAACCTGGGCTTCTCTTAGTATGCCACTTATACAGCAGGGGATTCCCGTGCACCCATGCAAAGGTATCAGCACAAAACTCTTACCGTAATCGACCCAGCAAGCGAGAGCAGACTAATGCCTAGGAGAGCTGAGAACGTCCGTGAACGTGAATATGAGAAGCTTGCATGCATCATCAGGCATGTAGTGTATATCATGGATAGCTCATCGACCAATTGCATTGGATCTTAACATCTTGCCGTTAGCCTCCCACCAACCAGGTCGCCTGCAGCATCACCATGAGCAGGGTACTTACATTTCAGCGTCGTATGAAAGAGGATGGAGCCTAATCCGACGACCATGTATCCGATATAAGAGATTAGGAATATTGAAGGGTGTTTCTGCTGTATGCAGTTTATAATCCCTCTTATGCCAAGCCACATGAAAATTGCATTTGTAACTGTCTGCTGCCGTGTCAACAAAAAAGACATGTGGGAAAGGTAATGTATTGCCTATACTTACATTGCAAAACTCAGCGCAATATGACGACAATGCATAGTCCTTTTTAATATTCAGCATTTGCAAGATGAGAAACAAAATTACAAACTCGCTCACTTACCTCCTCGCAGAAGTTGAGTGTTGACGTTTGCTCTCCCCAGAATCCATTGCCGGGATTGGCGGTTGGATAAGGGATCCAGATCGCCGTGCGAAATGCTGATAACGCCATGTTAATGCTGTTCAGAGGTGTTCTTTCTTACAATACAGAGGAAAAATACAGAATATTCAAATTACAAATATGTTCGGAAGAGAAGGGAAAAGATATGAGAGAATCAAGAGCCATATAATAGATTCCGTACTACCCGCTGTCGATCCAGGTGGGGCGGTAGTACGAGTAGTACGAGTACCTGCTAGTGCCGAACTTGGTAGTCGTTGCGCCCCGCTAAGGCGGCTGCCAACACTTCTCGTTGGGCTCCATCCAATGTTCACGGTACATGTACATTTGAATGACGGGATGTGCCGAGTGCAGAGTCAAAAGGAGGGAGAAACAATCATATAGCATTCAATGTTACCATTACAGATTTTATCGTAAAGTCATCTGCAAATAACAAGTCTCAAGGCGTTGGGCCTTTGAATCTGCTTCAATCTCACCTCCAGGCTTGGGCAAAGACCAAGCTGATACTAGGTACCCGGTACTTGTGACAGGTTGTTGTTGTTGTTTGTGACGCATGCGCTGGATGACAGGGACAGGTACCCAAACCACTATAGCCTTACCTTTGGCAGGGCATTCTATCCATCGCATTTGCAACGCCTTTTTGCACCCGTCGCTCTGCCCAATGACGTGAACTCCTTGTCGCGATGCTTTAGCTATGGATTAATGCCATAGAGAGTCTTCAGTCTCGAGTAAGTCGCCGCTTTTTGATGACCAATCTAAGCTCAAACTCACCTCTTTGCAGTGGCATCTGTGCAATCTTCATATGATAATGGCTCTGAGCCGGATAGTGTTCGCGTATCGCCCAGTCGCGTTCTTCCCGGCAAAGAGCCATATTACTCGAATCAAGGTACGGCAATACGATATTCTCTCATGCTCGTTCGTAAATTGACAATTCAGACATCGCTGTACTCCACGCCGTCATCGCAGCGGCCCAGGAGAAGCTCGACCATGCTGCAGGCCCAAAACCGCTACCCGCCGCGGCGCTGTTCAGCGCATATGACGAAGTTCTCCCTCAACATGGCGTCGATCCGGACTCTGATCACCATCTCTCGGCTTTTGTATTCAGGATCAGTGGCGAGGAGGGTGGTGGAAGTCTGCTGGACAAGTTTCAATCAATCCTCAACCGCATAGGCATCGTACTCGAATTCAGTGACGACTCCCTTACCTCTCCGCACGGCTATCCCGAGCATCCTCTGTCTCCAAATCCAATAGATACTGGTCACTGGTATCCCGACGACCTCCCCATCAAAGAAGACGATGATTTTCCTCACATGAGACATCGGGCTTACAGCGCGACTTCCCTGGACAACGACTCTGCCCCCTCAAAAAATCGAGCCCAGGAACCGAAGAAAAATAAACTTGAAAAAGATGATCTTCCCCATGTCGATGTGGAGGCAGAGGTATACCCTTCGGCCCGGATCTCGACAACCGCCACACGACACCCCGACCCATATCATTACTATCCGAGTCCGTTGTTCGATCACTTGCCTCTTGATTCCCGTGCTGTAGGCGCCGGCACTCCTGACGACGACGCAAAAGTACACCTATTGGCAAACTCGAAACGGAATAATCTAGCCCCGGAGTCAGATGAACTTCCTGGATCTATCAAAGATCAAGACCAAGATCACCAATCTAGTGATAGAGGAGAGAATGAAAAGAAATTTCAAACGACTGCAATACCAAACAAACGAAGTACCTCCGCGAAGACAGTCGAAAGAAATCAAAATAACGGCAAAACTGACGGCATAGATATGCCTGCATCTCCCGACTATATACCCAAAGATGCCCCCTTAGCATTACCTTTAATACAGGATGGCCCTCTACCGGCCTTTCATTCGCTAAATGAGACTACCTTGTCGAGACAACAACAAGAACAGCTGCTAACAAGAGCGACTCGAGCTCGCGAGATCTACTTGGCAAGCAAAGTGTTCAACCATTGGGCAGACAGAACCGCAGGGCGACTTGAGCGGGAAGGCGTAGCCAGAAGACATATGATTCGTTTTCGCTGTTTCCAAGGCTGGAGCTGTGCGCCAAGTTTGCGATTCCCAGTTGTCGACCAGCTGAAAGCTCTCACAGCAGTTCAGAAACTACAACGTGCTGTGTCATATCAAGAAGAGCAACTCCGTCTTGCGGCATCAGCCATCTCTCAAAGCCATCGTGCCAGGATTGCTTCGCGTGTCTATGATCAATGGTGCTCACATCTGATATCACTCGCCTGCCGTCGGAAAATGAACAAGAAGTTAAAGCAAAATGCGATTTTGGCATGGAAATCAAGTACCTCCAGCAATGTCATCAAGAGCCAAGCCATCCGCAGATTCAATAAGCGTGAAGGCGTTATTACCACACTCTCAAAATTACAAGACCACGCGGTGCTGAATAGTCGTCAATTTCACACAGCTAGACAGATAGGGTCGCTCCAGCTGCTGTTTGGGTACCTCACCGAATGGAGAGATCAGCTACAGGTCAAATCGCGATCATCGGCATATTGCGTCAGGACCTCCATTGCAACGATTAGTCGAACCTTCCAAAATTGGAACCTATTGGTACGAGTGCAAGCATATCGATGGAACGCAGATTTCATATCTGTGACACGAGCTCTTGAAAGCTGGCGAAGGCATTATATACAAGAAGAGTGGAGGCGAAACATGACTGCGAATCACCTAAAGTCATACCAGATATCAAATGCCCTACATATCCTACGACGGTCCAGCAACCTCGAAGCGCAGCGGTCGCATCTAAGTAGTCGAGCTAGGCTGTTCATTGTCACAACACAGGTATTGCCCATCGTGGACTCTGCTGTGGAAATGCGAAAAGCCCAGATGAAGGAGTTGATTAGGCGTTATTTGATGATGAGATATACCGAGGTCTCCTCCGCAAGGAAAAAGCGAAACTTCTATGAGGCTTTCGATCACTGGCGGGCCATGACAGCTCAGGCCATTTCCGACAATGACGTTGTCATCCTTTATAATTCAAAATACTACTACGGTCAGCTTGACCTCGCTCTAACAAAATGGAGCAGCCAGGCTGGAGAAGATTTGGAAGTTCAGTTGGCTACAAATCGACACTATGCGCAGGCCATGCTAACAACTTGGGCTGATGCTGCCA